TTATGCTATAAAATCCTTTTACTGTTTGCTAAATTCTCACCAACAGCATGGCACTTTAACAATTCAATTGTCCTGATTGCATAGCATGAGGGTTATTCACAAAAATGTTATACATGTCGCAATTCCGCCATTTTATGAGTGATTCTTCATACAAAGAGAAGATCTTTTGAATATATTCATTCTACTGTTAAAATTTAAAATAAAAAAAATCGTTTCAGTAATTGATTTTTTAATTAATAGACGAAAATAATATATAAATCTAATACAATTTATATGTAATACTATTATTATCTATCTAGATAGATAGATTATCTAGATTGTCGAGTCTGCTTGGAAGCAGGCGAGACTACCAGTCGCATTCTCTGAGACTGTCCAGAACTACTATTTTGACTGCCCTTTTGACATTAGGAGGCGAAATATCTTCTGTTCGATTAGTGTCTGTAGCAGCACAAAAGATCAATCATGGTCGCAGTGCTCCGCTCCGATGGGAGCTAGTACCGCGTTTATTCCTATTCCTACTATTATTATAATATAATAGCACTCGCTTAAGTCTGAGTTTGGTTGTTATGCTATATAAATATAAAAAACTTTCTCATCCATCCACATTAGGGCAACCGTTATAAATAAAAAATTTGATTAGTTTTATTCAGCTGTATCAGGATGTGTTAATTCTTTGCAGTAGCAATCTTCTAAAGAAATAAATCTTTGTCCAAAGAAACACCGTATTAGCTGATCAGTAGTTGTTATATTAAATTTTATACAAATTATGTGTTATTTATTTATTTGTGCAATAACCTGTATAACAGACATAAATAGGTTAATATTACTTCATATTAAAGTAAATATAATTTTTGATCTTTTGTGAAATTGCTGCAATCAAAAGTGCTGAGATATGTAAAACTGGAAATAACTTTGCTATTAAAATTATTTTATGCCTATAAGCATATGTGAGAAGTTATACGCAAAGTATTTAGTGTTTAAAATCTAGTGTAAAAATCTTAAGAGAGGCATTTTGTTCACAGACTCACTTCATTTGGGGATAGGCTTAGAACAATTAGATGCAGTTCAGGAGGAACAGACAAGTCCTATAAATTCCAGTACTGTTTAAAAGATTTTTACCACAAAGGTTCTTACCTTTGCGTAGCTGCTCATGCTTACAAATATTTTGATTTCCGAGTGTATGTTTAGAGAACACCACAGCATCTATTGATATTGTGACAGCATTGGTTTCCATATAAGGTTTTTCTAAAGGACAAATTAAAAGGCGAAGACAAAAATTGAGTAGGGCTTTGCATCTGCTAACATTAGTACGACAACCTGTATCATGATTATGGTGACCTTAACAAAAACATGTCTCTCAAGTGTTTTGTTCCCCTACTGCGGTGATTGAATCTAGAAAGAGCAATAGGTCGGACGATGACATGTCTAGTTTGGTTAACTTGTTAAAGGATGGATCGGTAACTGGTTCGACAAAAAAAAAAAAACAAAAGAAGGAAGAGAAAAGGCAAGGTGATCGCAAGATAGGATGTTGCGAATGAACGCTTCGAACATTCAGCTAATAGATTAACATCCCCTAGAGTATCTGTAGGTGTGGTGGCAATTGTGGTGTCAACAATACAGTATCTTCTGGTAAAAGTAATGGTAAATCTCATGGTGGACCTCAATGTACCATAGTGTTTGGTGAGACTTCTATAGTGGTAAGTATGTAATTGAACCATTAAGATCTATAACAATTTCTATTATAAGAAAAAGAGTTCAAACGGTTAAATGGCATATTGATAATAGTATTATTTAAACATACTTGTTGATATAAATTTATCTAAACTTCATGCATTTATAATAACATTTTCAAATAAAATTTCCACAAATTTGCTTACAAGTTAAAGTTATGTTTTATCATTTAATTGCATTTTTGGTTATATTTCCTTTTTTGTATCTTTCTCTGTTGGTTAGTTTAGGTTTCGTAGTAGCGGATTTCGCGCAGTTTTAGCAATAAAATAATGTTGAGGCCAGCGTTTTTATTCCATTAAATGTGTTCTTATCACAATTTGCGATTTTAGTGTTTTTCTTTGGGAAAGTTTTTTGTTTTCGTTATGGTTAGTTTTTATGTGACATAGCGTTCAGATTTATTTTTTGCAACTTTAGTTAAAGAAAGAAGCATCAAGTAGTAGGAAAAACAGTAAAATGCGGTAACAAATGAATCTGTTTGCGGAGATGTCAGTAAAAAAATATTAAAAATGGATTTTAACACTACGACGAAAAAAACAATAGCTCTGAAAGGACACCATTCATTTAGAAGGCGGGTTTAGTGATGAAAATTTTAGTAAATATAACACACCACAAAGGAAACTCATATTTTATTAAGAAAAATGTTAGCTTTCCTTTACTAAAATTTGGATACCCTTTATGTTATATACTGAAAACACGATCCATAAGTAATATTAAAGAAAGGCTCATAAAGCTTTTTCAAGATGCTTTGAATAACTAGAAAGTAGCTACTATGTTAGTTTATTATTGATGAAATTAAATTTACTTTTTGATACTATTTTTTGAGTTTTTAATCAATATTTATTGATAATATTTCTCCTAGTTCAAATACTATTATTATTTTTGTATTTTGTATTTGTTTTTTAAAATCAAACGATTACACCATCTTGAAAACACATATAACCTTGACAGTACTGATCGTTTATACTGTAAACTTCATGATTTAATACATATTGTTATTTTTTTCAATTTTTTATTAAATTTACATTCACAAACTGTTTATATACCTGTTTATATTATATACCTGAAATTTAATAAGCCACTTTATTCAATTGGATGATATAGCTGGTAAAACTAACGTACTACATTATAATTTTAAAAGCTTGTTTTGAAACTAAGTACTTTTGTGGACTCAAAGACTTCGTCTATTTTGGGATTTATTTTTATTCTGTATTTATATCTTTTGCTTAAATTTTGTATATATCCCTTTACAAAGTATATCTGCAAATCTGTGGGAATAGTATGAAAATAGATAATTCAGCATACAATGACTATAAATTGAATAGCTTTGAAGTAAATATTACATACGTTGAGATAAATTTAATAGTGGTTTTGTACAACAATATGTATCTATTTCACTTTGCATTAGTAAAGTAATATTCATAAAGATATTTTCCTTATGAAAATAATTTTACAAATTACCGAGATCAAAAATTCTACTGAGCAGAGATAAGATGGAAGTGGCAAATTTCGTGCTAGTAGCTCACCAATCAGTGTGTTGTTATCGCCAAAAATTAGATGTCTCTTTCGACCAGGAATGCTGAAACTGTGAAATAGAGGACGTAATAGAAATATTTAAATATATAATTTACAAATCTCCAAGCCTGATAATATAAGAGTTTATAAACTAATGAGCATTGTGGAGATTACAAATATAATCTTCCAAAAATAATTTCTTCAATAACTGCGCGGGTTGTTAATAACAATTTCAAGGTAAACGACATGAAAACGGTGCCTGTATTTTATACAGATAGAAAGTAACACTCTGTTGCGACTAAAACCAGTTAAACTAACCAATTTTACAATTAGCAACGGTCTAATTTTCGCTATCAGAGAAACATCGTCTCCATCGATTGTAGCGCTATTGATGATATATAGATCAGAGCTCAAAAACTCCAAGCTTCTCCTATTAAATTTAACAGTATATATATTAAATTTAGTAACTTAGGGAAAATATGAGATGGTATACGATCTCAAATGTAATCCAAATATAAACTGATTAGCTTCATTTTTAGTAAAAAGACACAGTACTATAACGAATATTTATGTACTAAATCTAGTAAGTTTAGGACGATATATACTGGCTTCATATACTGGAGCTTATCGGTTGAGGCTTTCTATTATAGCGAAATTTGCTTGGGTTTTGTGGTCGATATAAAAACTTGTTTAAAATATGGGTAATAATGCCTCTTTTTATTAATATCTAGGAACATATTTTAATGAGAACATATTTTTGCTTTAGTAATTGTACTGATTTTTGTTAAGCACTTTCAAGGCAAACATTGTTTTTGAGAAAACTTTTATAATATTAAAAATATTGGTATTATTTTTCTTTTTAAAGTGTAATAAGAGGAAAGACATTGAAAGGTCTTAGTGGTACAAAATCTAAAGTTTATCTTAGACTCTCAGTATTTAAGTATCTATTAAATACAGTGTGTATATATGCAGCAACTTGTATAAAATAAAACAAACTTGGAGATATATACCACTACGGCATCTATAGCATCTATATCCACATATATCACATATATAGAGAAATGAGTATGAGAAGTTTTGCATCAGTATTTTATTTATTTCATTTTCAGTACGATCTCTGACAGGATACTTAACACGAAAGTTTTTTGAAAATGTGCTGAGTGCGCATATCATATGTCAAAGAAAAATTAAAACATTTATCCATATGGGAGAATACAAATGCGAACGCAAAGCATCATCACAACGTTTTTTATTCAGTAGAACATTACAGTTCTAATTGTTTCACGAGAGCAAAAAAAAAGAAACAAAAAAACAAAAAAAAAATGAAGAACGACACACGGATACAGCACATAACAAACGTGCGAATATTTGTTAGCTGCAATATCCCAGTAGAAAAAGTGGTCTTCGAAGACATTGTCTTCAAGACGGTCTTTGATACCGCGTCCGCATTTTCAAGCAAATTTGCAAAACAATTGCTCAAAACATGAATGTAAATACTCTTTCTTTGTTTTCTCTCTCATTTTTTGTAGTCATAGCAACGTATTTGAATTTTGTCTCAGATGACGCTTTGTTTTATAAATGAAGTGACGCAATAATTTTGAAGTGTAGTGAATAAACATTTGTGAAATAAATATTAAAAAAATCAAAATGAATAAAGAAACAAAATCATTAAACTATGAAATATTAAAAAAAAAGAAATTAAATAAAAACAAATTAAATAGTGACTTAGTTCCTGGAAATTATATTGATATTAAGAGATGTTGGCCGAAAACAATGTTCTATTAAAAAAAAATTTGGGGCTACATTTAGTGCAGTGGGCACAAAAATTTCCTCTTAAAACGTATGAGGAAATAATATTTATTAATGAGGAATTGCAAGGAGACCGAAAATTGGAAATTGTAAGTATTTAACAACAAATTTTTATTTAATATACTTATGAATATATATATTTTTAATTCATTAAGTATATCATTTAATATATACCTATATTATATTTATATTAACCTAAATTCTTTACTTTTATTTAGATTGAATCAATGAAGAAAATCTTGTCGGGGAATGTTGCGAACATTGAAGCCATCTTCAGCAAGAGCATAATTCTATCTCATAACTGCGGTGGGGTAAAAGGGAAAACGTCTTTGCGGGAGTATCCCTTTTTGCTGGATGCTATTTTTGGTAATTACTGAATTTATTTTACATTTACTTTTTAAAAATAACAATTCTTTTCAATTTACAGAATCGACAAGAAACGGAAAATCATTTAATGATTTTATAGGAGACCTGTGGAGTGCGCTAAGACTAGCAAAAAATCGATTAAATAAGCAAAACTTTCGGGCAAAAGGAAGAGAGATGACTTCAACAATTGATGATAGCGAAATGCTTTAAATTATTTTTTATTAGTTTTAGTTAATTTTAGATATTAGATGTTATATTAAGTTAATTATTTAAATTAATTTTCATTACGTTTACTAGTTTTTAAGTTTAATTTACTTTTAAAACTTTTAATTTTGAATGTAATATAAAAAATTATTATATAAAATAAATAAAAGTACAAAATACAACAATTTCTTTCTACTTATTTAAAGAGAAAATTGAAATTCATTTAAAATTTAAAGAGCGCAATAAAAGAGTAGAAATAAAAAAAAGGGTGAAAAAATTTTATGAGCACTGCACTAAGAGCGCACAACTTTCTGTCGAATGCGTCCGTTATGCAAGACATGGTCTTCGAGACGGTCTTCGAGACGTGTACGCAAAAATTCATTGAAGACATTTGGCTAATTTGTATGAAAGTGTCTTCGAAGACCGTCATACATTTGGATCGATCGGTCTTCATGTATGCATCCATGTCTTGAAGACGTCTTCGATGACGGATCGATCCGTTTTCTACTGGGATAGTATCTACATATAAACACATGCATACGTACGCATACATATATACATGCGTTCTGCTGCAAAAACTCTTACTAAGCAAGTTGACAACACTTTACAAAAATACGAACCAGTATCGCACTCACACACAAAACGGCACAAAACACTTTAAAGTATTGCATCCAAAAGAATTAAAAAATGTGACACTTGACAGTTCATAGTTCCTTGAAGTTCTTACTATTTTAGTCATAAAGTACTAAAGCTGCAATAGAGGCGCTACGTAACCGCGATTAATGCGCAAGTTTCACAAATTAAAAAGTTTACTACAAAAAAATATATATATGCACTCATTTATATATGTATATATATATACTTGAATTTTTTTAAACAAACTCCAATGGTTTAAGCTTAATAATAGGCATTGACGATTTCCTACCGCCCCTTCAAAGTGAGCAGCTACCTAAAATAATAAAAATTCGCTTTTAACGTGGAAAGTCTACAGATTATCAGACATTGTTTACTTTAAACATCGGTAAGTATAGCCTTGAGCTTCGGATACCGTACCGTTCTGGGGCAAAGGCACATGCAATCAAACTTGTTAACTCCACAGATACAAGCGCATACAAACAAGTATTAATATGATTCCAACAAAACAATTGTTAGCCACTGCACTGCACTCTACTAACCAATTGCTTAAGTGTAGTAGGTAAACCTGTTGCTTTTATCAGAGAACTCTGATATGTTATGTACGTATTTTACTATATGAATATTAATATAAATACGAAAGGATATACCTACATATATGTACGTGTGTATATTTATATGAATTCTAAATTGTGCTTACTTCATTGAAATATTAAATGCGAAAGTTTTATGATTTCGCTAGGTAATGCCAGTTGCTCTAAAGTTAAGTTGGTTTATAACTCATGTCGCACATACATATATCGCATGTACCGCATATATCGTACAATGTAACTACTAAATCCACGCATATCTACCCGTGTTCATATGTAAATACAAGTTCACGTTTATGAACCCAACACTTTTTTAACAATTTGCAATATTTGCAGAATCCATGTATTATCCAATACTGTGAGACATTTATCTACCAGTTTATATTTAGGAAATACAGTAAAGTGAATAAATATATGTGGGTGCATGTGCAAAAACATTTTTAACCGTTACCGCAAACTTAGCGAATTTCAACTTTATTTGCCAACAGGGAAAAGGACGCCCCTAAGTCGTTTATTTAAATGGCATACGTTCAACCCAGTGATACTGCAAAAGATTTTATGAATTTTTTTCTCGGCACTCTTTTTTGTTGGAGTCATTAAGTTGCTCATTGTTGAAATTTTTTAATAATAAACTAATTAGTGTCCTAACATTTTTTTAAATTTAGAGAAAGTTTGCCAATAATATAATTTGTTTTTTAAAAAGTTGCTTCCATACTCGTATGAGAGCATGAGAACATATGACTATGAATGAGTATAGAAATCTGGATCATAATTTAAAAATGGAAAACTCAATCAGATGATATTCAAACGAGTAACAAATTGAATAAAATATTTAAAAATTCTACAAAATCCTGTTAAACTTTTATTGCTAAAGATTAGAAGAATGAAAAAAAGATTAGCAGGTATTATTATTAGATTAATAAAAATCGAGTCCAGTGAGATGTTTACCTTCAACAGAAACCAAATAAACCATTGGTGTGAATAGTTTATAGAAATTTTTAATAACTAATCTATCCAAACTGATTTAGAGAGTTCTGTGGAAGCCTTAACAAACATTCATATCGACACAAATTCAAATATCGAGACTACAGTTATAAATACGATATAAATACTTTAAAAAAAGTTTAACTAAAAGACTATAAAAGAAAGTTATAAAAATTTTGATCGTCAACCCAGCTAAAATTACTTAAATTTTGAACTTTTTCGTTTATTGCTGTTACCATAGCCAATTTTGAAGTTCAGAAGAAGACTAGGAAAATCGAATCACTAGTTTACAGTATTGAACCGCTAAACCGAACCGTTTATGTAATATAAGCGTTTAATAGCCTTCATCAAAATTCTCAAAAAACGTAGTCTGTTTAAAAATGATCAAGATAAAATGATAATTTTTCCTTCTCTGCGTGGATTTCTATACACCAGTAAGCAGATAGAACTACAGAGTAAGCTTTGCAGTATTCACACAGTCGTTATTGATGAATTTTCTAGATCTTGTCTTTTACCTCGATCGCACAGGAAGTTACTTATGATTTAGCCGTCTTCCACTTATTGTTAGTTAGTTAAAGAAGATAGTAGTAACTAGTTCTCTGGTGAACACATACCGGTTCCCCTAAAAAACGTAAAGTACATAGGTAAGCCAAATCGTTTGTTTTTTGGTTAACTTTAATTGTCTTATGTTCAAGAACTCATATTAAAGTGATATCAGCTAGTCGGTTTAGTCTGCCAATTTCTGTTCTGTACCAATTAACAGCTTTGATTTTATAATGGAGGATTGATGTGCTTAAATTGCTGCTTGACTATCAATAAAAATGGCAATAGTGTCTTGTGATTAGCTGATATGTTTCCCTAATCGCTAAGACTGCAGCCTGTAAAATTGTGACTCATTAGATAATTACAAACACTGATGTATATTTGCAAAAGGGAACAGAACTTCTGCTCGCAACTATAACTTAGAAATATACTTGCAAGCATCTTTAAAAAAGTAGGTTTAGTGGTAAATAATTTGAGGTATTCCTTAACAGACAGTTTGGAACTGTGTTGAGAATCCGGCTATGGAATGTTTAGTAAGAATTATATATAGTAATTCTATATATAGTAAATGTAGCATTATTTTATATATTGTAAAGTAGGTATGTCCAAAGGGGATATTCTAGACACTCATTAATGCCAACATATGGTATTCTCTGAATTCTTATGAGCGTCTGAATGTAATAGATTTTGTCTAGAATGGCGTATTTTGTTAAATCGTTCTTTTGCAAGATTTAAAGTTGCATAAGTCTTTTTGAACCATAGTTTCTTGTTGGATTTCCAATACAACTCACTATGCAGTAAAATTTCTAGGTAGTTTGCTTTTTTTGCAGTTATTATTAATTTATGTTCATCTGTTGAAGCACAACATCAGTTCTGTCTTTCTCTGGCTGACTCAAAAGCTCATCTTAGACAAAGTCCTTTGTATAAAATCGATTTTTATGTAAAGAAACATTTCCGATATCTCAGTGTGTTGTGCTATTGTTGACGTGCTTGGTTAGAGTAGTACTACTTAACTTTAACTACATATCTGCTGTTCTGCTATGATTTGCTGCAGCAATGAACAAGTAAAAAAATAATGTAGCTATATGGCTGATCATGCAAAAATTAAAATCAATGTCTGAAATAAGTCACAACAATGACTCTGATGGAAAAGTGGTTTGAAACCGAACGATGTCATTAATGATGTGACAGTTACCAGTGGCCAGACTAAAAGGCTAGCTTGTTTTAACAACTATGGTAAAATATGCTTTGTTAGTGCAACAGAAGTGTAGTTGACTATAGATCACAGGACGGATAACCATGGCTTGCATTACTGTCTTAACAAAATAGGTCTTTTTGAGTAGACAGGATATTGGGTCTGCTTAGAAGATAATGAGACTACTAGTCAGATTTTTTGTCCGAATTTGATTTCAAGGTAATCTTTAAGAAATTATGTTTTAATTTTTATTCGAAGTTTTGACTATCGTCTGCTCATTTAGGGTGGATTAGAAGTACAAAGCTCTGACATAGTTGCAGAGGTTGGTTGGTTGCAGTGGCAGACCATGAGATAACAATTAGCGATTTTTGCTACCACATTCCTCGCAAGAACTCTAGTATAGAAGAGTAGAGACTAAATCCATCCCGTCAAATTTAGATGATTTAATAGGTCTTCCGTCTTCACCGATGAATAGTCTAATAAACTATTAAAGAAATATCTTCCTAAGAACCCATATCTTCTGGACGTCGAAGCTGGACATTCACAGAGAAATTGTATTATAGTTTCTTTCTCCTGCGAGCTTCCATAACTTCAGCAGTGAAGATTATGGGAAATGCGCGTGGGTTCCTATAGTGATCTTGTAGTGATCTAGTTTTACCTATTATAGGTGGGCTATGTTAACCTGGAAGTTGCACATGACTAAGGTGCTTTCCAATTGTTATTGGAAGTTGCAGAAAGTAGAGCAAGGTACTTCTCTGAATCGTCTCTAGGGTAATATAAACCGGTACCGCCGGTTTAAGGGCTTTGATTGCGGCCTGGTAGTATCAAGTTTATTTTCCGAACTAATCTAAAACAAATCTATTTATAATCAATTGTTTTTAATCCTGTTCGCATTGTTGCGTAAAATTTCTTATGTTTATTTCATGGTATGTATGTTATTAACACAGTTTTGTTAATAATGGTATCTAACCAGGCGAGTAATAATATTAGCAGTAATCATTTCTAATGTCTTATTTATTTATTCGTTAAACACATACGGACTATATGTGTGTATTATTATAGGAGAGAATAACATCAATTGCCTATTGTGTTAAAGCACCAGCAGAGCAAAGTCATTCCTGGTAGGCCGTTATTAAAGTAGTTTATCTGTCACTGGGTTACTTGACAGTTTGACGCCTCTGAATTCATGACAAGCTGATTTTTACATATTTATTTAGCTAGGATTTACTTTTTCTGTATGACAGTTGTCCTGGTTGAAATGCAGCAAATCAGCATGAAAATATTTTTACTTGATGTTTTTTTTGGGATTTTTATTTATTTATTTCTTTTGTGTACCTCATTCATTTGTTTATTGTTTTATCGCCAAATCAGCGCTCGTTTCTGATTGTGTTTGTGAATGAATGATGACAGTTTCCAATGGTGTTTGCTTGCATATGATTTGTGAATTCAAAAAAATAAATATTTTAAAAGAATTTTCGATGAAAATAAAATAAATATAGAAAAATTTTGTTTAATTTTTTTGTTAAAGCTTAGTTTTGAATTCAAATAATAATTTCGTCTTCATAATAAATTTAAAATTATTTTCATTACAAATAAAAACAAACAAACAGACAATTATTTTATTGATAAATCCTCTCTGATTTATATACGGTTGTATATCTCGAGGAATAAAAAGATAAAATTTTTGCTGCTTTATAGCTTTCTAGGTCTTATAGCACCTTTAAGAACACATATAACTATCACTTTCATACATTGGATTGCATTGATTAATTTATTATTTATAACAAACGCGAGTATAGTATAGGGTTTATAGGGGTTATTAAAGTCGAACGAATTAGGTTACGTTAGGTTCAGAAGGCGCGTGCTGACAGTTGTTAGCACCTTCACTCGGAGGCATATATTGCCCATTGAGGTGAGAGGTGAGTTGCTAACCTTTATTATCCTTGTTAAACCATTTTGTTTTTCAGATGAAGTTGAGGAGATCCGATAAGCTTACTTTCGTTATCTCATTCAAGCCAGTGAAAAAGCGATCACCAAGATATTGAAGTCGCCTTGTGTGCCGTCCTGGACAGAGACACAGGAAGTGGTTGATGGATCCTACCTCCTCTTCGTCTTGGAGCATAGGCACAATGGCACAGTGCCTCGTTAGTACTCCAGTAAGTACAAGAACTGTTGGTTTACAGAAGCCTAAAAGATTTTTTGTTTCATTTTTGTTAGTCCATAAATTGTTAGTCACCACATTGGTGATTTCCTCTATTGTCCTAAAGTCGAAAGAATTAGTTAGAACGAAATTGAATAGAAATGTATTATATTTATATTGAATTGACTAAATGGGCGTTCTTGGCTATAAAAAAATTTAACCAGATGGGTTATGTAGGAGATAATATAATTCAGACATAAGTAAATTAAGTAAGACATAAGCAAAAAATAATTAAACGGAGAAAAATCGCTAATTGAGGTACATCTCATGGTGTGACACTGCAGCTAATCAACCAAACAAGACATTAGTTTAAGTAATGGTACAGGAAGCATTATAGTTGATTTTTAAAATTTTTAATTTTTTATAATTTAAAATACCTATAGCGTTTTATAAAAAAAATATGTATCATTTGGTCTGGATGATTGTTAGGTAGTTTTTTTTAAACCTTCAATTTGATCCAATTAATCAGAATTTTTTGTATGCACTAAGTATTTTTAGCTTGCCGAGTGAAGTAATTCTATAAAGTCCACACAAAACTTTTTAAATTATTATATATTTTAAATTGCACGTTGCATCGCTTATTATACTATGCACGTGACCATTGACCACTACAGTAAGTAGTAAGTATATAGAAAATATATAGTATACGCAGAATACTATATTCTGCGTATATAGTATTCTGTGGAAATGTTATTTAAGTGCTTGCTGATATTAATTGCTTAGCAGATCATACAGTTTGTTAGTTCTCGACATTTTCTTGTGCGGCTAAGCAAAAGATCGTATTTGTGTGGATATTTTGTCCATTTTGACCGAACTATAAGTCAGCTATGTACATAGGTGTACACAGGTAGAGGCAGGCGCTTAACTCCCCTACCCCTAAATTTCCAAAATATTATTATTGTTTTGAATATAAATTTAATACTGTTTACAAAAAAAGTTTAAAATTTGTCTTGCTTTGTGAACAAAATCTCAGTTTAATGTTTTCCATGAACTAGGGGTGAAATAAACTAGCTTATATAAGCAAAAAAGAAAAAGAAAAGGGGGCTGCCTTAGCACACTTTAAAATATATAATAATATCAGATCAGTATATCAGCGGTTTCCTCTTAATTTCAGCGCGGGGTACACCCATGGCTATGTGTCATTCAAATTTTCTTACAAAGGAACCAAAACTGTAATATATTTTGT